TATTATTTATATTAATATTAATATCCTCTTCGATATATATATTCAATGCATCTCGCTACGTTTATCAAGTTTTAATTAAAAAAATTTTGTTCTTTTTAAATAATCCAAAAAGTATGTTACATATTAAAAGGCCTACTTAATAGTCCACTGCACTAAACTTTTAGACACGTTTTCTTCACTGTCATAGCTAATAATAGGCCATCGCAAGAATGTGTACAGACTATCCTTGGAACATATGTTCGTGACTACCACGGGGGTTGTCGACGATATCGATCTGCAAAGAGCAGGAACAAAATGAAAGCGATCAGGATGCAGTGCACTATAACGACAAGTCGATATCATACGCGTTATATAATAGTAGCTATATAGAAATATGTGTAAAATACATAAATTATATAATAATAATGAAGAATAAATTACAGATAATAATGGGACAAAATGTATAAATTAGATTCTCTTGAATAATTAACTACGATTATAACATAAAATATGTACTTTTCATATCAATTGTAACAATTATGATTGTGTCGCGTTGTAATTTAAATTTATCAATTTGATTATTAATACATTCGAAACCTACTTGTTTGTATTTCATAACGAATTATTCAAGAAAAGCGAGATATCACAATTGCATTGACCCAGCAGGTATATTGAGGTAATGACCGACCGTTCCAAATAAAACTTCACATACGCTTCCATACTTATTCCATAATACTACACAATGCGCATAATTCTCAATAATCCCAATTTATATATCTTATGCATGTGCTATACGAAAAATCAGAAATATTTTCGCAAAATGATTTCTCTCCCTTTCTGAAATAAACTATGACCGAATAAAAAATTTCAATAATAAAACGGATAGCCTAAAATTCTAATAGTAAAATAATAATTTTAATATATCTGATGTAATTTAAAATAATATCTTTTTTTTCTCGGCAAATCAATTGTATCATATTTTTCCGGGAAATTTATATATATATAATAATATTCTATATAAAACTTGTTTCTATATGTATAGCTTCATCTCTCAACTAACTTGTTCCTGAAAAAAAAAATAATAATTCTAATGGTTTTGTAATATATTGCTTGTGACATTATCTATGCGGCAAATACTATATGCAGGGATGTATGTAATGCGACGAGAATATATCCAATCGCAACGAGAGTGCGATTGTGAAAGCATTTAATACTGAACATATGGTACCTCGAACGCGTCTTTTTATAATTCTCTTTTTTTTTCCCTTCATCATACATATTTTATATATATTTTATTCAATATTATATAAAGTAGAAACTTCCTTTTCCATATATCATTTCTTACTTCGATACCCCATTCCTGTCCTTCTCCGTCTCTTTCTTTATTTCTCTACATTTCTTCCTTCATTAAATTTTAATGAAGAGTATCCTTTTCTCGAAAATAGAGAGAGACAGAGAGTTACGCCTTTCGCGTAACGCATTCTCTACATCCTCCATTCCTGAATTTCCTCGAAAAGCCCTCAAATTCTACGAACACACTTTCCACGAATTCTCCTCTGCAGACGCTCCTGGCCGCGGAGTTGAATATCGACCCGCGGCGCGAGTCCCGCACGCGAGCGAGTGTGCGCGCGGTCCATCAAGATCGCGCCGGAGCGCGGCGCGGCATCGCCAGGCATCGCGGTGTCGAGCGCGTCCGGGGATTGGCGCGCGCGGAGAGCTCGACGGGGATGACGGGCAGGCGCGCGCCGCTCCGCGTCGGGACGTCCGGCGTCGCGCGAGCAAACGGTAGACCTCGGCAGGTAGAGACCAGACAGGAAGGACCTAAGACAGGCGACGGCCGGACGGGCGTTTTATTGATTCTGGGGCGCCGCGGCGCTACCCACCCGCGGCGGGGTAGAGCCTGCTGGCGAGAGGAAAACTCTCCTCCCCGGCGAGGAGGACGATTTTCTCCATCGTCTCTTCATCCTTTTACCTACCTACCTCGGAAATCGGCGGGCCGATTTTCCCCGATTCTTCCTTCCACCCCACGCGGTCGCGCCTCTCCAATCTCTTCCCCTTTTTTTTTTTTGCAACTCGGAGCCGGCCGGTGGGTGTGTGCAACGACACCGTCGTCGTCGTCGTCGTCGTCGTCGTTCGTCGAACCGTCGGTATCAGTCAGCTTCTTGATAGCGGTCAGGAAACGGGCACGATCGATCGTCGTGGATAATCGCGAAAGTGAAGAAGGTCGCACCAATAACCTACAGACTACCGGGAGAGTTTCCCAGTGAAATATTCGCGCCGGTTACCGTCGCAACGTGACAGAAACTCCTTGAGCAACTTTCAATAATATTTATATATGCGCGAAGAATCTCTACGAAATATTTATAAAAGAAAATTGTGAGAATAAAGTGTGATAACATTGGAAAATCGTTCTCGTTGTTGCTGAAGAACCGGTTTCGCGAGGGAACGGTGACGGAGACCGAAGAGATTACGAAAGGAAAATCATATGTTTTACACTATCGTTGAAATCAGCTTAGACAGTTACCAAGATATCGACGAGATCGAATTAAATCGAAGTTGCCCCAAATACTTCCTTCGAACGCCGCTGTGGAAAATAACGAAAAGCGATCACCAGTGTTGAGAAACATTCCGAATGTTCATGATGATAACGAGAAAATAGGGAAACGAGGATTACTTTAAATGGTCCTGCGGCTAAACTTTAACGTCAAGTTTAAACTCTAAGATTTATCGGTGGATGACGATAATCTGCGGGGATAATAATTTTTCGAAGAAGGTGCGGAGAGAAGAAATTTCCGATTCCGCACGATCGGTCGTTTTCACGCTCTTGATCATCGAATTAAAAGTGCGATTGCGAGAGAAGCGGCGAGAAAATTAATTCATCGCATAAGGTAAGATAAAGTTTAATAAGCGCATCGAATAAAAGACAGAAATAAGAGACAAAAACGTGAAGACTAAAGACAGAAACAAAGGGGAAAAGTCGGGAGTTCGATCGCTTTTGCGAGACAAATGGACGTAGACGTGACCAAGGAAGCTAACTTCCATAGGGAGCCTGTCAGAAATTTGATGCCGATGGAAGCGTCGTAAGCCGCCGTTGGGGCTGCGCTGATTCGCGTCGATTATCCGAAGAATCGGTCGATTTCGACGAGGCATCGAGGAGGAAGCCCAGACCTCGTCTGTCGTCCGGGTGGTTCTGTGGCACTGAAATGGGCCCCGCCAGCAGCCACGAGCAGATTGGCGAGCAAATCGGCGACGACGATGGCCTGCAGATCCACCCGAAGCCGTTGATACTGGCGAACAATATCGTAAGTATCTAGTTTTTATTACCATACATATAGTGAGACCATTTATATCAAAAATTGGAAAACAATTAATTTTTAACGCAATTTTTTTTATTGAAAGACACTGCTAAGATTAATTTATAAATAAGTTTTAAATTTCTTGGATAAATTAAAATAATATAAGAAAATAAAAAATATATTTATACTCTTTTAATAACTCAAAATACACACACACACACACTGTATATATCACACTGATATCAGATTATATCATCGATACTAATGATACTACGATATTCACATCGATAATAACAAATTGCTCTTCGCTTTCTCGTTACTCTTCTAGTTCTAAAATAAACATTTGGCGACGTTCTAATTCTCAGAAAAACACGTTGGTATTTTTTTAATATTCTTTTAATGTAAAGCTTTTTGAGATTAATAATAAAGATATACTGTAGGTACTTACATACTGCATTTCCATTTTAATAAAAAGGCGATGTTGAATTAGCGGAAAGTCTTAACCGATATATATATATATATATATCGATTCTCTCCTCTTATATATAAGATGAATAAGAATAAGATAAAAGTTTCTTGTTTTCAAAGAGGATATCCTGACATCAGCATATATGGTTTTATTTTTAAAAAAACCATTTTCTGTCTTATTTGATCTTCAAATCTCGAAAACATCTTCAATTCGATCAAAACCGAATTAACCACAAAATCATTCTTTTAAAGCAAGCTATTTTTGTGTCTAACAAACAATAAGGCATTTTTTATCACTAAAAATATATATGAAATAGTAAGTTTAATAATCTTAATCTGTATTGTATATATATTCAATATATTCACATTCAAAGAGAGAGGATTAAACTTGCCCTGATTTTATATATAAAAAAAAATTTAGATATGTCATTATATTTACCATTTTATTTTATGCAAAATTAATTCTTCAAAACTTCCGAATATATTCTTAGTAATACGTACTCAATCCGATTTCACGATAATTACTTAAAAATCGAATTAATTATTATGCTCCAGTTATGATTAATACATGAATTAAAATAGAAAAATAAAAGAAAGAAAATGCAGAATAAATATTAGATATATCCGAAATCGTAGTACAATCGAGAAAGGTGGTTTATCAGGCAAAAATAAGTTAAAGATGTAGAACAAAATTTTATTCTTTACTTTTATTTAAGTTGAAAAAGAAGTTGTTAATTTCCCAATTTGCTCAAAGTCAATTTTCTCGGATACAAAGCCTTGTAGAAAAAAATTTCGTTCTACATTTTTTACTTAATTTTGTCTGATAAACCAAACTATTTTCCGGTTGTATCATAACTTTGTGAAAACTCATCAAGTATATCTTATGCGTAAATAATATTTGCATTTCTTGCAAATCTTCGTCAACGTCAGTGAAATCATCTGATTCTTGCAAACATGAGAAGCTGCGGTAATATCGCATTGTGATAACGTTATCAGGATTAATGTAGTGCATGGCATGTTAGAAAAAAGTATGTATTACCGTCATAATATCTAATAATTAAAATAATATAGTAGTTTTATGAAATAAATCACGCACGACATGCTGATAAGAATCGTAGTGAAAAATCGCGATTATTTTCTCGTTTTTAACAAAAATTAGATCAAATTTCTGCTGTTCATGCTCACAAATATTATGTCATTACTTATTATAATTTAACATGATCTAAGTCGTGTTTTGATTTGCTTCGAAATTTGATAGGTTTTGACAGCATTGCGACAAAAATATATCGGTGTACACAAGAGGAGCATTATTATGTATAACATACTATGTATTTCGATCGTGCATTATTCTTTAATGAGTGATTATTAAAATAATTCTCGGCCAATTTTCAATCAATATTTCCTTAACAAAACTATGGCATATTATTTTGTTAAATATCTTATTTCTCATCGATAAACATTCTCATATTCTCTCAAATGCTATATTAATTTTACTCGAATCAAAGGATCTATAAATAAAATTTTTCAACACATCCTGATATATATTATATTACATATTTAATAATTAAAGCCGTATTATAGAGCTCCTGTATCTCATAGGCTCGATTAACACGATCGTTCACACGTGACGATTAGATAATCTCACGACGTAACCTCCAGCGGGAAAAAAAAATGAGAGAGATAGAGAGAGAGAGAGAGAAAGAAAGACATTACCTAGGAAACACGTCGCGAGCTCCTGTACTCGAAAAATATATCACGCGCATTATACATAATATAGAACTTTATATTCTTCACCGATGGTATACAAGCGATTTTATTCGCACGAACGCGTATACTCGTGAGTCGTGAGTAATACATCGCCGGGCGTGTTTAGAGAAGCACGGGGGCGAGAAAGACGGATGATTAAGATTGGCGGGTGCAGCGCGGGGAGATGGATGATGGGATAGTGAAGAAGGGGGAGTACGGGGTATACATGCGGAGCGAAACGGCAACAACGATGACAATGACGATGACGATGACGATGACGACGACGGACGACGACGGGGATAAGCGCGACAAGATATGCGTCGTTCCCAAGAGTGGGGAATCACGGATGGACTACGCGTCCTGTGTCCGTGCGATTAAGTTGCTCGGTGATTGAGCGAGCGCATTTTGTCGCGCGTAGCGTAGCGCGTATTCGCGTTTCGCGCCGAGCTAGCCTGGCTTCAGATCTCCCGACCGACGCCTCCTCTCCGCGTGTGTATCTCGCGGATCAGGTGCCGCGGCTCTCGCACCATCTCGCTCATTCACGCACGTCTCGCATCGTCGCTCATTCACGTCGTCGCCCACGAGGGTGCATTCGCCTCCGACTAATCGTAAGAGAACAGAGAGCCACCATCATGTCGCCTAAAAATAAGGTAATCATAATGGTCGCTTATAAAATAGTCTCAAGACAGTATATTAACATTCCATAAACATAATTGCAAGCGTCGTTATGTAATATTAATTATATAATCGCATATATATGTATATTAATAACGCTGCAATTAACGTGAAATAATTGCAAGCGTTTTTTTTTTTTTTTTTTTTTTTTTTCTTTTAATGATTTAATGGCGGGGTGTGTTCAAAATACTATTAGATAATCGCGATCGTGTCATGTTTAACATAAATTAAAAATTGAAACTTATATATTTGTAATTATCGTATTTTTTTTTCTATCACATGTTCGAATAAAAGAAGAGATTACTTTCGTGTATTGGTAGCATCGAAATCTGAATTTCTTATATCCAAACTATATTAATTCCACAACCTGATCAATGTACAAATATTATTGATATAATAGGGAATACTATAGTAATAACGTTACTCCAAACTATTTTAATAATGTTAATATCACGATTATTCAAAAATATTATTCGCGAGAGCGATTGACGATAACTCGATGTGCAACTCCGCATTTTCTATTTATATAAAATTTGTAGCATTGCATAGAAAGCAATGTATTTGATTTCGCAGTATCATTCTTCTTTTCAAAAGCAGTATACATATATATGTTCCACGTAGTCAACGTGTTCTCGAACGATTTCACGCGTCTCCGCAGCGTTAGCAGGAATTTGAATCGAACCGATAGCAACGACATATGATTATTTCTGTGGGCGTAATCCAATTTTCCGTTTCTTCTTTGACTTGGAATTTCGTTGCAATAACATATTTATGACAACGACGTATAATCATTCCATCGACGCGATTAGGTATTCTGTTTATGCACGGAATTTTATTTTTCCATACGTTTCATGTGTTTAAGTCTAAAGTCTTTCGGATTATTGAACTTGGCTCGAAAAATTTCGAGAAATTTATAATTCATTATATACCTTTTATTTATACCTTTTAATTTCCTAATATTTGCCGTTAAATATAGTATGTACCTAGATATCATGAAAAGAGCAAATGAAATGAATAATCTTGGAATTAAAAAGTTTCCTCGTCGTTGATTCGAGACTGTGTTAGCTTATATTATATTTATAAACGTATTATTTTACGGCGACTCGACATTTTGCGTTGTGATTTACTCGTCACTAATATATATATTTTTCATTCGCGACAGTCTATATCGGTTTAATTTTATCTATATTATAAATATAAATAATATTCTCTAAGAGTATAAAATATGAGATATTCTTTATATCTTATCTAAAGTGAAGCAACTCGTGGAAAGAAAAAATACATTGTGTACGTAATTTAATAATACAATATAGAACATAGTAACACGATCTGTTTAAAACGTGCATTTCTTGCCCATGTCTTTTTGACAATTATTTTTCAATCGATTTTCGCAAGATAAATGATAAAAAAATGTGCGCAATGATTGAACAATCGCGAAATGCGCGAGTGAAAGTGGGTTGTAGGCTGGTTGACGAGGAAATTTATAATGTAACGCCGCTGTACTGACAAAACACGATATTATATTCCGGACGATACGCTGCATTGTTTCCGCGCGTACAACTCTTTTCTCTCTCCCTTTCTATCTCTCTTCTCTCTCTCTCTCTCTCTCTCTCTTTCTCTCTCCTTCTCTCTCGCCGCGTTTGCCAAGAACATTATTAAATAAATATATTTATTAACAAATATCCTCTAGTAAAAGCCTTTAATTCCGAAAACGCAGAAGAGCGATTCGAGAAGAAGCTTTCATCAAGACTGACCTCTATTAAAGTTTCACGCGATGGATTATAACGCATTCGTGAGATTCAAGACTCGAGAGATTAAGATCTATTTTTCTGTGCGCAACTCTGTTATCTTTTAAGTGTTTATTGAACTTCTTATCATTCTCTATCGAATGTCGAACAGGCCTCGGATTCGCGGCTGTTCAACCGACAGATATTAGATAGAATTTCTCAGATTATTTTTCGTCGATTAAATTCTCCATCGCATCAATAACTAATATATATATTTGCTGAACAGATATGCATTTCCAAACGATTTACTGTACTAAAAGATAGAAAAGATCAATTACGCGTATAATAAGTGTAGTGTAATGGCCAGGAAAATCAATTGCGTGTAAAAAA